TCAGGGATACAACTTCTTCCGGGTTTAGTCTTGGGAGGGTGTAAGTGTCCAGAAATTTATTTATTTCTTCCAGATTTACTGGTTTATTTGCATAGAGGTGTTTATACACTTCTGGTACGTTGTGTCTTCATTCTCATTTATTTCAAAGAACATCTTTATTTCTGTCTTCATTTCATTATTTACCCAGTGGTCATTCAGGAGCAGGTTGTTCAGTTTCCATGTAGTTGTGTGATTTTGACCGTGAGTTTCTTAATCCTGAGTTCTAATTTGATTGCACTGTGGTCTGAGAGACTGTTATGATTTCCATTCTTTTGCATTTGCTAAGGAGTGTTTTACTTCCAATTATTGGTCAATTTTAGAATAAGTGTGATGTGTTGCTGAGAAGAATGTATATTCTGTGGATTTGGGGTGGAGAGTTCTGTAGATGTCTATTAGGTCCACTTGATCCAGATCTGAGTTCAAGTCCTGGATGCCCTTGTTAGTTTTCTGTCTTGTTGATCTGTCTAGTATTGACAGTGGGGATGTTAAAGTCTCCTACTATTATTGTGTAGGAGTCTAAGTCTGTTTGTAGGTCATTAAGAACTTTCTTTAGGTATCTAAGTGCTCATGTATTGGGTACATATATATATATATATATATTTAGGATAGTTAGCTCTTCTTGTTGAATTGATCCCTTTACCATTATGTAATGCCCTTCTTTGTCTCTTTGGATCTTTGTTGGTTTAAAGTCTGTTTTATCAGAGACTAGAATTGTGACCCCTGTTTTTTTTTGTTTTGTTTTGTTTTGTTTGTTTCTTTTTTTTCTGCATTCCATTTGCTTGGTAAATATTCCTCCATCCCTTTATTTTGAGCCTATGTGTGTCTTTGCACATGAGATGGATTATCTGAATACAGCACACTGATGGGTCTTGACTCTTTTTCCTATTTGCCAGTCTGTGTCTTTTGATTGGGACATTTAGCCCATTTACATTTAAGGTTAATATTGTTATGTGTGAATTTGATCCTGCCATTTTGATGCTAGCTGGTTGTTTTGCCCATTAGATGATGCAGTTTCTTCATTGTGTCGATGATCTTTACAATTTGGTATGTTTTTGCAGTGGCTGGTACTGGTTGTTCCTTTCCATGTTTAGCACTTCTATCAAGAGCTTCTGTAAGGCAGGCCTGATGGTGACAAAATCTCTCAGCATTTGCTTGTCCATAAAGGATTTTATTTCTCCTTTGCTTATGAAGCTTAGTTTGGCAGGATGTGACATTCTGGGTTGAAAATTCTTTTCTTTAAGGATGCTGAATATTGGCCCTCACTCTTCTGGCTTGTAGGGTTTATGCAGAGAGATCTGCTGTGAGTCTGATGGGCTTCCCTTTGTGAGAAACCCCACCTTTCTCTCTGGCTGGCCCTCCTTTTTTTTTTTTTTTTTTTTTTTAAGCATTTTTTCCCTTCATTTCAACCCTGGTGAATCTGACAATTACGTGTCTTGGGGTTGCTCTTCCTGAGGAATATCTTGTGGTGTTCTCTGTATTTCCTGGATTTGCATGTTGGCCTGCCCTGCTAGGTTGGGGAAGTTCTCCTGGAAAATATCCTGAAGAGCGTTTTCCAACTCGGTTTCATTCTCCCCATCACTTTCGGGTACACTGATCAAATGTAGATTAGGGCCGGGCGCGGTGGCTCAAGCCTGTAATCCCAGCACTTTGGGAGGCCGAGGCGGGTGGATCACAAGGTCAAGAGATCGAGACCATCTTGGTCAACAAGGTGAAACCCCGTCTCTACTAAAAATACAAAAAAATTAGCTGGGCATGGTGGTGCGTGCCTGTAATCCCAGCTACTCAGGAGGCTGAGGCAGGAGAATTGCCTGAACCCAGGAGGCGGAGGTTGCGGTGAGCCGAGATCGCGCCATTGCACTCCAGCCTGGGTAACAAGAGTGAAACTCCGTCTCAAAAAAAAAAAAAAAAAAAAAAAATGTAGATTAGGTCTTTTCACATAATTCCATATTTCTTGGAGACTGTGTTTATTTATTTTTACTCTTTTTTCTCCAATCTTGCCTTCTTGTTCTTTTTCATTGAGTTGATCTTCAATCTCTGATATCCTTTTTTCTTCTTGATCAGCTTGGCTATTGAAACTTGTATACAGTTCATGAAGTTCTTGTGCTGTGTTTTTCAGCTCCATCAAGTCATTTATTATGTTCTTCTCTATGCTGGTTATTCTAGTTAGCATTTCATCTAACCTTTTTTTCAAGGTTCTTAGCTTCCTTGTGTTGGGTTAGAACATGTTCCTTTAGCTCAGAGAAGTTTGTTATTACACACATTCTAAAGCCTGCTTCTGTGAATTTGTCAAACTCATTCTCCATCCAGTTTTCCCTTGCTGGTGAGGACTTGTGATCCCTTGGAGGAGGAGAGGCATTCTGGTTTTTTGAGTTGGCATCCTTTTTGCACTGGTTTCTTCCCATCTTGGTGGATTTATCAACCTTTGGTCTTTAAAGTTGGTGACCTTTGGATGGGGTCTCTGAGTGGACGTCCTTTCTGTTGATGTTGAAATTATTTCTTTCTGTTTGTTAGTTTTCCTTCTAACAGGTCCCTCTGCTGCAGGTCTGCTGGAGTTTGCTGGAGGTCTGCTATGGACCCTGCTTGCCTGGGAATCACCAGCGGGGGCTGCAGAACAGCGAAGATTGCTGCCTGTTCTTTCCTCTGGTAGCTTCGTTGTAGAAGGGTACCCATCAGATGCCAGCCAGAGCTCTCCTGTATGAGGTGTCTGTCAACCCCTGCTGGGAGGTGCCTCCCAGTCAGGATACACAGGGGTCAGGGAGCCACTTGAGGGGGCAATCTATCCCTTATCAGAGCTTGAGAGCTGTGCTTGGAGATCCGTTGCTCCCTTCAGAGCTGCTGGGCAGGGATGTTTAAGTCTGCTGAAGCTGTAACCATAACTGCCCCTTTTCCCAGGTGCCCCATTCCAGGAAGGCCAGGGCTTTATGTATAAGACCCTGACAGGCTGCTGCCTTTTTTCAGAAATGTCGTGCCCAGAAGGAGGGAGTCTAGTGACACAGTCTGCCTGCAGTGGCCTTGTTGAGCTGTCGTGGGCTCTGCCCAGTCACTGTGTAAACTTCCCCGCGACTTTGTTTACATAGGCAAGGTTAAAACCATCTACCCGAGCCTCAGCAATGGTGGATGCCCTCCCTGCCCCGAGCTCTCATGTCCCAGGTCAAGCTTAGACTGCTGTGCTGGCTGTGAGAATTTCAAGCCAGTGGGTCTTAGCTTGCTGGTTTTCGTGGGGGTGGGACCCCCCAAGCCAGATCACTTGGCTCTCTGGCTTCAGCCCCCTTTTCAGGAGAATGAGCGGTTCTGTACCACTGGCATTCCAGGTGCTACAGGGTTATGAAAAAAAAAAAGAAAAAAAAAAGAAAAAAAAAAAAGAAACAACAACAACAACAACATCAACAAAACTGCTGTGGCTAGCTCAGTGTCTTCCCAAACGGCCGCCCAGTTTTGTGCTGGAAACCTGGAGCACCGATGTTCTAGGCACTGGAGGGAATCTCCTGGTTTGCGGGTTGTGAAGACCATGGGAAAGTGCAGTATCTGAGCCAGAGCACCAGAGTGCCAGGAAAAGTCCCTAATGGCTTCCCTTGGCTAGAAGAGGGAGTTCTTTGGCTCCTTGTGCTTCCAAGGTGAGGTGATGCCCCACCTTGCTTCAGCTCACACTCCTTGGGCTGTACCCACTGTCTAACCAGTTACAATGAGATGAACCAGGTACCTCAGTTGGAAGTGTGGAGATCACCCATCGTCTATGTTGCTCTTGCTGGGAGCTGCACACAGGAGCTGTTCCTATTCAGCCATCTTGCTGGAAATCTCAATTTTTACTATTTTAAACTGTAATTTTAAAATTTATTTGCCTTTGTCTTGGGATCCTGGACTATGTGATATAGGTTTTTGGAATTTGTTGAGATTTAGTTTGTGACATAATACCTGCCAATATTTTACAACTGTTTCATGCATTTTAAATTTTGTTTGGTCCTTTAAATTTTACATTCTTTTTTCATTCTTAGTTCTACGGATGAAATTTTTAAGGGAATGTAAATGCTCCATCTGTTGGCTACTGGGTTCTCTCTTTATTTATTAGGTGAAGCCTTTTAATTCTGCTGTTCAAATCTATAGCCTTACAGGTGTTTTTGGCTGCTTATTATCTTTATTTTTTAGAGGGGTACTTTAAATTTTTTCACTGTGTTGACAACTGATGTAGCCATATTCTCTCTAATTCAGTCAGCTTCTCCTTGACTTACGACAAGCTGTGTTGTTAAGTTCATAGAAGGCCATGATTAGTATATCTTCTTGGTGGGTCATACAGTCAGTTCTACAATGTATTGTTGAAAATCTCTGCACTGCACAAAATTGTGTAATAAAAACGATTGGGCTTATAGGAAACATGATATTGGGGCATACCACTAAAAAATGTTGCTAGTGACACAAAAAACAACAGTTGCCTAGTGAACTATGTCTAGTACGTCTGATAAAATTTGTACTCATAGGCCTTTGGGGGAGGGTCCTGCAGGGGCCCTTCTTGCTAAGGTCTAAAGATAGTAGTACCTTTACTAGATTTACTGTATCTCCACTATCTTTGCAGAAACTCCATATTTATTCTTATTTTGACTAACTCATAGTAATAATTTATAAGGCAGATGTAGACATTTTTGTTTTTGTTCTCTTTTTTAAATTTATAACTTTAATGGGTGTTACTGCCCAAAGAATAGGGCAGTGAGTAGAATAATTTATATATAAATCCCAAAAAAATCTAGCATCAGAGGATCATTGGCGGCTTGAACCACAATTAGATAACAGAGCGAGGAACTATTAAAGATAGTCATGGTTAGTGTAATAGAGGTTTAATTTCCATTGGAAACTTCAATGTATTTCAAAATAGAGCTGTGCATGGTTTTGGCTTGGATTTGGGGTGGACCTAACAACTTGGAGGAAGAAGTAAGAAGACACTCATCATACGTCCCTTTCATCTCTTCTAGCTATGTTCCGTGGAACCTGCATGAGCCGGAAAGAGGCAAATTTGACTTCTCTGGGAACCTGGACCTGGAGTATGTGGTGTTGCTGCTGCTGTGACCTGGCCAGGGGCAGGGGCAGAGAGGCGGTTACTGGGGGTGGATTAGCAAAGAGAACCAGGGAGGGACCAGGGTCTGGGTCCTGTTCTAGGACTATGAGAGGCCCTGCACCCAGGACCCAGACACTCCCCATCCATGACCTGTCACCCCGCAGGGCTGGGCCTGCAGCATCTGGGCCTCACCTCTCCACTGCAACCCAGAGGTGCAGAAGACCCCAGAAGCTGCCTGACTCTGCATAGGGTCCAGCCGCCTGGGCTGGGACAGGGAGGCCCTTCTAGGCTGGCAAGGCTGCTGGGGTCAGGTTCACTGTGAAGACCCCTGTGCCCTGGCTGATGCCCTTCCTCCTCAGGCCCCTGATGGGGCTTTGCAGAGGCTCTGAGGCTGGGAGCAGCTCGGGCCTCGGACCTGGTGTGGGAGTCCCTGCTCTGTGGGGGTGGGGCCGAGCTGTCCCTTCACCCACCGGGCAGCTCCTCCACCCTGTGATGCATGCGGTCCCCACCTGGCCTGTTCTTGGGCTGTCGTGGGAAGGGCTGACGATGTGGACCCCTCTAGGGCCTTCGTCCTGATGGCCTCGGAGATCGGGCTGTGGGTGATTCTGCGTCCAGGCCCCTACATCTGCAGTGAGATTGACCTTGGCGGCTTGCCCAGGTAAGCGGGGCTATAATCTCAAAATCGTGGTTGTAGTGAAGTACTTGCTTTACAAAAAGTGAATTTTAATCTAGTAACAAGGAAAATAACCTTTATTCACGGAGCAGATAGGAGGTGTGCTGCACCACGCCAGGCACCGTGCCTGCGCCGTCTCCAGTGAAGCCTGTGGTGCTGCGGGGAGGGGCGCGTGCTGTTGCCATCCCCATTCACAGATGAGAAGCTCCAGGCTTTGGTCCTGGGGCCTTGGGCATGCAGCCAAGACGGTGTGCGTGGGGAGAGGTGGCCACACGAGCCTCCCACTCTTCATTCCCCACTCAGGAAGGGCTGTGGCCCCCTCTGTCCTTCCCAAAATGTCCTGGGAAGAAAGGGACCAGAAGCTTTATGGCCTGCAAGGGAAGGTTCTGACAACCCTGGACTTGTTTTGAAAACTTCTGATCTTTTGCTTATTTTGCAAGGGGAAGGCTGCCTTCTCCACGCGGTGAGACCACCCTCAGCTCCCCTCCCCACTCCCTCTTGCTTTTCTTTGCCTTGTTCTCTCCTCTGTGATGCCGGCCCCCAGCCCAGACTGCTGAGGGTCAGGGTGAGACTCCAAGACTCCTCTCTGCCACCCCTGTGTCAGGCAGGGATCCCTGGAGAATCTGAGGCTCTGCCTCCAGGGAGCACCTCTTGCAACTTAGGGTCAAATGAGACCTTTGCTTTTCTCCAGATGAGTCCTTTCTCCCATCCAGCTCAGGGGCAGAGAAAACCCGAGCTGAGGGGAGCAGAGTTTTCGGGAAACAGTGATTCCTGGCATGGCTTGGCCGGAGGCCTGCCTGACACTTTCCCGGTGATCTGGAGAGGGTGGGGTATCATTGGCGCACAGGCCCCCACCCTGAACCTGAAGACTTAACTCTTAGTGGAAATGCCACACTGTACCTAAGGAACAGAGGTTGTCCCCAGGAAAACTGTTTTTAATAAGCTGAAAAATAATGGAGAGTGTTCAACGAATGCTAGAAGAAAAAGCTCTTTAACACATGGCTGTAAGAGCATTGGCAGGCCAGCCCCTCCGTTGGACCAAAGGGAGCTGAAGGCTCTTCCAGAGTTGTGAAGTGCCTTGGAGGTGGAGGCAGGTGTTTTCTTTCCAAATCCCACAAGTCTACAAGAATGGCCTGAAAGTGTCAGTGGCACAGATCCTTCCAGGATCCAGCACCCCTGCGTGCTACGGGACCAGAGGAGTGAGGCAGCTGGGCAGATGGGCAGTGAGCCGGGGCAGGTCTGAGCTCAATCCTCCTTCCCCCTGCCTTTCTGTCTCAGACCCTGAGCCTGCCCCTCTCGCCCCCAGCTGGCTCCTGCAAGACCCCCGGTTGCTGTTGAGGACCACCAACAAGGGCTTCATGGAAGCAGTCGAGAAGTATTTTGACCACCTGATTCCCAGAGTGATTCCTCTCCAGGTAAAGCCAAATTACCTCCTCCGTCTTTCTTACGTGCACTTTAGGGAAAGAGTTTGCTTGGGTTGATCACCAAAGACCCACATGCGGTCTCCACGAGCAACTGAGCTGACTTTCTTGTAGCCTTGGGTTCCGGACCCTCGTCTTAAGGATAGACGCGTTGACCCGTCCTGTCCTCCGTGTCCTTGTGTGCTTGTCCCGGGGTTTCCACGAAGTCTCATCACATGGGGCGGGGACTGCGCAAACGGGTGTCCTGGCTGTCCACGTGAACTTACTGTTCTCAAGCTCACCAATCTTCCCACTGCTTCCTTCCACTCTTAACAAGGCAAAAAGGCTCAGAAGGCACAAATGAATTTATGGTCAGATAAAAGTCTTCCTTTCCACCCTGTCCCAAAGCCATTTAGTTGTCCTTTCAGGAGGCAACCAATTTTACTAGATTTTGTGTCTCTTTTTAGTGGTATTATCAACATGGAAGCAAATTATACGTACATGTCTATATACACAGAGACATGAACACACAGACACGTACATGTTTTTACATTTAAAAAAATGTGGCTGGGTGGTGGCTCACACCTGTAATCCCAGCACTTTGGGAGGCTGAGGTGGGTGGATCACAAGGTCAGGAATTCAAAACCAGCCTGGCCAACATGGTGAAACCTCGTCTCTACCAAAAATACAAAAAAAAAAAATCAGTCTAACATGGTGGCAGGTGCCTGTAGTCCCAGCTATGTGGGAGGCTGAGGCAGAAGAATTGCTTGAACTCGGGAGGTGGAGGTGGCAGTGAGCTGAGATTATGCCACTGCACTCCAGCCTGGGCAACAGAGTGAGACTGTGATTCAAAAGAAAAAAAGAATATAGAAAAAAAGAATATAGGCCGGGCATGGTGGCTCAAGCCTGTAATCCCAGCACTTTGGGAGGCCGAGGCGGGTGGATCACAAGGGCAAGAGATCGAGACCATCCTGGTCAACAAGGTGAAACCCCGTCTCTACTAAAAATACAAAAAATTAGCTGGGCATGGTGGTGGGTGCCTGTAATCCCAGCTACTCAGGAGGCTGAGGCAGGAGAATTGCCTGAACCCAGGAGGCAGAGGTTGCGGTGAGCCGAGATCGCGCCATTGCACTCCAGCCTGGGTAACAAGAGTGAAACTCCGTCTCAAAAAAAAAAAAAAAAAAGAATATATATCCTTTTTAATATAAAAATATATGATTCCCCTCAGGCATTTTTCTTTTGTTACTTGAAATACGTATATTCGAAATCAGCCACTCTTTTTAGTGCCTGCACAGTGTTCCATAGTAGGGATATATTACAGTTCATTTAACGGGAATTCAGGCTGGTCACGGTGGCTCACTCCTGTAATCTCAGCACTTTGGGGGAATGAGGCAGGCAGATCACCTGAGGTCAGGAGTTTGAGACCAGCCTGACCAACATGGGGAAACTCCGTCTCTACTAAAAATACAAAAAAGTTAGCTGGGTATGGTGGCACATACCTGTAATCCCAGCTATTTGGGAGACTGAGGCAGAAGAATCGCTTGAGCCTGGGAAGTGGAGGTTACAGTGAGCTGAGAGCCCTCCACTGCACTCCAGACTGGGCGACAGAGTGAGACTTTGTCTCAAACAAACAAATAAACAAACAACAAAAAACCAAAAAACAGGAATTCATACCCTACTTACGGACATTTGGATTTCTCATTTGTGTCGTAAACAAATAACTTGTGCACCCCCGTTCTGTATCTGTGTAAGTCTCTTCGCTATTGCCAGCATTCCAGGTTGATTTTGTCCCACAGATGGGAAGAGCACACGTGCCATTCGTCACCTTCTTTGTGGCATACTCAGACCTCAGGTACTGGATAAGAAATGCCTTCATTTTCACCATGGCAACCTAGAGCACACAGTCAGGTCTGTGACAAAAAAAACAAAAAAACAAAAAAAACAAACAAACATTGTCCTGTGCTGTCTATAAGACAGCATTGTTTGATCATTATAATATTAGTTTAATTTAAACAATTAACTCTTCCAAATGAGGAGATGCACATGGTTATTAAGAAAAATCAATCCCAGTTTAAGGACACATCTCTTGATGTACTTTGAGATGGGCTAAAAATCTAGATTGTGGCCTGGCATGGTGGCTCACGGCTCTAAGCCCAGCACTTTGGGAGGCCAAAGTGGGAGGATTGCTTGAGCCCCGGAGTACAAGACCAGCCTGAGCGATAGAGTGAGACCACATCTCTACAAAAAAACACACACATTTGAGAGCATGGTACGCACCTGTCGTTCCAACTACTCCTGAAGCTGAGGTGGGAGGATGGCTTGAGCCCAGTTGCAGTGACCTGAGATCGTGCCGCTGCACTCCAGCCTGGGTGACAGATCAAAACCTTGCCTCAAAAACGAACGAAAAAACCACCTGGATTTTTAGGTAGTCGCCTGATAGCTCATCTTACTCTTCTGTTTGGGAGAAAGTATGGCAAACATACAAATCTAGGCCTTGGTAACTAATTCTGAATCATGAAATGTATGTTATTCCCTTTTCTTTTTTCTTTTTTTTTTTTGGTGTTGTTGAGACAGAGTCTCACTCTGTGGCCCAGGCTGGAGCACAGTGGTGCAATCTCGGCTCACTGCAACCTCCGCCTCCTGGGTTCAAGAGATTTTCCTGCTTCAGCCTCCTGAATAGCTGGGATTACAGGCACCCACCACCATGCCCAGCTAATTTTTGTATTTTTAGCAGAGATGAGGTTTTGTCATTTTGCCTGGACTGATCACAAACTCAGAATGATCCGCCGGCCTCAGTCTCCCAAAGTGCCGGGTTTACAGGCGTGAGCCACTGTCCCCGACCTGTGAGTTGTTCTTACTAGGATAATTATAAAGAGGAGAATCGAGGGATAAGAAAGGAAGAATGTGAGAGAGGGCTTAGCAATGGTATTGCTGCAATACAGCTATGAGACAGGTACTGCTGAGAGGAAGAAAACCTTTTCTGTAGGATTAAACCCTGGCTTACGCCATGAGGATGGTGATGCATGGTACCTGTGCTCTGTCGGGTGGAGTTGAGGTACGTCGTTTGTTTGAAGGGCTGAAGCTGTATGTGTCTGGCTGCATTTCTGCAATCTAGGTGGGGCTCAGTGGTAGGCGTATGCCTTAAAACCAGAAAGACTGAATATTTGGATGGAAGTTTCGGCACAAGTACAAATGCCATTCCCATTCATATGTGTGTGACAAGGAAAGCAAATTTACAGGCATCCCATTGAATCGTGAGGGTGGGAAATCCTAGGACATTTTTTAAGAAGCAAGGAATTATAAATGTAAATGGAATGTAATGCCCTATACCTTATCATAACTTAATTATTGATAAATCATTAGTCTTTTAAGGTCCCTTTACTGAATTGGTTATCTTTATTGTTATGTAAAAATAATTTTTGGAGCGCATGACTGTTTTACTTGGGACTTTTATTCTTCTCATCCTGTTTATTTCATAAGGCCGACTGGGAATTCCCCTGCAATGGGGTTTTTAGACGTCTTACCCTTCAGCTGGTTCAATAATGAAAACAATTGTTCTCAACTCACTAGCTGAGAATATTTGTGTCCATCCAGCGAGTAATTGCTGAGCACCAGGCCCTGTGTGGTCACTGTTGAGTGTCCCAGGCACGGGGCAGAGGCCATGCATCCACTCGTGGGGACAGGCGTGGTGCTGCCCGTGGAGGCAAACCACATCTCAGTAGGAGCTGCGGGAAGCCAGCATGCCTTGGCGGAGAGTGACGGGGGGGAAGGAGGCAGAGGGGACCCTGCGAAGGAAGACCTGACAGTCATGCCCATTCTCCTTCCTTTGTGTTCTCGGAGCCAGCATTCCTTTGTCCAAGAGGGAAGAACGTACTCTAAGCAGGACATTTACGCTGTAGGCAGTGGGGACCACAGCCTGCTGTATGTCAGGACAAAAAGGTTAGAGCTTGGCTTGCCAGCGCTCAGGCTGCCTTCCCTGTGGCTGGCCTCCAAGGAGAAGAAGGACCCGAACGAAGATACCCTGAAAAGGGTTTTGAGTTTAGCCTAACTCGATCATTGTTCATGGTCTGGATGCCATGATGGGCTGGAAGTTTTCTCAAGGGGGTTTGAGCAGAAGATGTGGGTGTAGACGACTGGTACCTCTTCCAGGAAGTGAGGTTCTTAGCAAGGAGAGTGGGAAGAGGGGAACGTTCCTGGGCCCCTGCCTCCATCTCTTTCTGATGCGGAGGGTCCTGGGTAAGTTTCCATGACCATGGAGGTCAGCCTGTTGTGAAGGAAGGTCAAAGGCACAGAGGGGAGAGTGGCTGTGCCCAGAGCCACATTCCCGAGCGGGCCATGGAAGGCCGTGGGACCCACACACAAGTGGTGGCATGACCCTAAGGCCGAAGGGAGGAGGGAATGTGGATGGGGGTGGAAGCAGGCGTATTTGTAGGTCTGAGGACTCAAATCTAAGCAGCGAGTGTGAGAGACAGAGGGAAAACTGTGGCAGTCATGTATCTGCAACGCACTGGGGAAGGCAGCCCCTGCAACAGCTAGCGACCCGGCAGACTCTTAACTCCAGTGCTGGAGCAGAGCGTGCGGACCGCTGGGGCCGTGGACCAGAGCCTGCCTCACCAGCTGTGCAGCCTTCAGCAGCAAGCCCACAGACTTCAGGCTTTTGCCCCGAATAGCCTCACCCTTTAACCCTCCTCTGCTCATGTCTCAGTACCGCCAGGGAGGCCCTGTCATCGCGATGCAAGTGGAGAATGAATACGGCTCATTCAATAAGGACAAAAAATACATGCCCTATCTCCGCAAGGTAAGAGACCCTGGGTTTGGCCCCACGTTTACATGCCTCCTTCCTCCATCTGTCTCTTTTCTGGCATCCTTTTCTGGTTCCTGGCTGCATGGGTGAACGGGCTGGGCACTGTGCGTTCTGAGAATATGCAGTTGGCCTGTGAACACGAGGGGCTGAGGGGTGCCGGCCCCCCGCGTGGCTGAAATTTGCGTATAACTTTCGACTCCCTCAAAATTTAGTGACTAAATTTGACTGGAAGCCTTACTGATAATAAACAGTTTGATTAATGCAGGTTTTATATCTCTGTTATATACCATATTCTTAAAATAAAGTAAGCTTCAGAAAAGAAAATATTACTAAGAAAACCATAAGGAACAGAAAATATATTGACTTTTCATTAAGCAGGAATGAATCATCAAAAAGGTCTTCATCCTCATCATCCTCATGTTGAGCAAGGCTGAGGAGGAGGAGGAGGAGTTGGTTTTGCCGACTCAGGGGTGTCAGAAGAGGTGGAGGGGTTGGAAGGGGAGGCAGGGAAGGGAGTTACATTGGTTGTAACTTGTATTAAAAAAATCCGAGTATAAGTGAATCTGCATAGTTTAAACCTGTGTCGTTCAAGGTTCAACTGTAGACCAAGTTCATTTTCTCTGTGAATTTACAACAGTCAGAACAATCAAGATGTACCTAAATAACATTTTTTTTTTTTTTTTTTCCTGAGATGGAGTGTTGCTCTGACACCCAGGTTGGAGCGCAGTGGTGCAATCTCGGCTCACTGCAACCTCCACCTTCCTGGATCAAGTAATTCCCTGCCTCAGCCTCCTGAGTAGCTGGGATTGCAGGCATCATGCCTGGCTAATTTTTGTATTTTTATTAGAGAAGGGGTTTCATTATCTTGGTAAGGCTAGTCTTGAACTCCTGACCTCGTGATCTCCCCACCTTGTCCTCCCAAAGTGCTGGGATTACAGGTGTGAGCCACCACGCCCGGCCAAGATGTACCTAAATAATTTATTAGAAGATAGAACACGACGTTAAAGGGCGATTCCTTTCTGTTTCCTATCTCTGTGACCCACGATTCTCATTAAAGCTGGGGTTGGTGAATTTCCCTCCACTGTAAATAATGCTTCAAGAATTAGTGATGTTGCTGTCAGCTTGAAGCTTTCTGGCCTGTAGGATAAACATCATCTCTTCTGTCCCCCCTTGCTCCTTAATGGAGAGACGTTTCAGGCCTGGGCATAACTGCTGTCCTGCCTGCTGTCCTTTCTGGTGGCTCAGCCCCTGCTGACCCCTGATGTCTCACATTCAGGAAGCTGATAAGATTTGGTCTCAACTGAACTCCTTAGGCTGCCACACAGGGTGCAGGGCTGCACGGCTGGCCTGAGCCATCCTGACTCCACCCTTGACTCTGCAGCAGTGCCCACGCGCGGAGACCTCTGGCTGGAGGCCGGGAGGGGAGGGGCAGGGCTTCCCAGCTGGGCAAAGCGGGGAGGAGGGCGGGGCTGGACTTCATCCACACGCCGGCTCCTGCCCTACAGCTGTGGCTTCTGGAGTTGGACAAGGTCAGAGGGTAATTTCCTTCCCTAACTTATCCCAGGGGCTGTGTGGCTGCCCTCAATCGGTTTTTTTCAGCTAGCAGTATTTGTTTTTTGTTTTAAAATTTACTGGCTCACGCTTGTAATCCTACTAGTTTGGGAGGCTGAGGCGGGTGGATCACCTGAGGTCAGGAGAATCGAGACCAGCCTGGTCAGTGTGGCAAAACCCTGTCTCTACTAAAAATAGAAAAATTAGCTGGGTGTGGTGGCACGTGCCTGTAATCCCAGCTACTTGGGAGGCTGAGGCAGGAGAATCGCTTGAACCTGGGAGATGGAGGTTGCAGTGAGCAGAGGTTGCGCCACTGTACCCCAGCCTGGGTGACAAAGCAAGACTCGTCTCAAAACCAAAAAAAAAAAAAAAAAAAAAGAAGAAATTGCCATTCAACTCCCCTCCCAGTCCAGATCTGGCTCGATGAACACAGGAGACATACAGCCCGGCCTTAGCTGCCTCGTTACCACGGTTTTTCAGATTAGATCTTCCCGTCCCTGCAGTCATGGTGGGCTTCCGTGTCCCCCTTGACAGTGTTCAGGCATCCCCGGAGCTTGGCAAAGTCCCTGCTGGCTCTCAGGACCCCACAGCTGCAGCCTCCCCGCTTCCAGCACAGAGTTGCTTCCCAATCTTCTTCCTCTTCTTTCAGTGACTTAGATCCTCTCCCAAGGTGTTTACTGGTAAACTCAGTCCTTTTCTTCCCTGGAGACTTTGATCACAGGGTGTCAGAGCCCACGCTTGGCTGATTTTAGGGTCATTCCCCACAAAAACCACCAGGCTGAGACAGAGACAGTGAGTTCCACCAATTTACTAAGTTGCAGAATGTCAGACTCTGCAGTCAAACCCTTGTCTAGCTCACATCCTGCTCAACTGAACCATTGTGTTTGGTCCCAATATTCTCATACAGTCGTCCTTTGGCATCCATGGAGGATTGATTCCAGGGCCCCCATGGATACGAACATTGGTGGGTGCTCAAGTCCTTTACATAAAATGATGTGACATTTCCATGCAACCTATGCACAACCTCCCATTTTTTGTTCTGAGACACAGTTTTACTCTGTCACCTAGGCTGGCGTGATCTCAGCTCACTGCAACCTCCGCCTCCAGTTTCAAGCGATTCTTGTGACTCAGCCTCCCAAGTAGTTGGAATTACCGGTACACATCACCACACCCAGATAATTAGAGAGGATTTCACCACGTTGGCCAGGCTGGTCCCAAACTTCTGACCTCACGTGATCTGCATGCCTTGACCTCCCAAAGTGCTGGGATTAACAGGCATGAGCCACCGCGCCTGGCCTCTCCCATATACTTTTAAGTTATCTCTAGATTACTTCTAATACCCAATACAATGTAAATGCTACATAAATCGTTGCTATGTAAATAATGACAAGAAAAAAGCCTGTACATGTTCAGTACAGATGCAATTAAGAAATATATTTTTGGCCAGGTGTGGTGGCGCACACCTGTAATCTCAGTGCTTTGGGAGTCCCAGGAAGGAGGTTTCCTTCAGGCCAGGAGTTTGAGACTAGGCACAAGGCAAGACCTTGTTTCTACAAAAGAAAAAAATAGCTGGATGTGGTGGTGTGTGCCTGTAGTCCTAGCTACTCAGGAGGCTGGGGTGGTAAGATGGCTTGAATCCAGGAGTTTGAGGTTACGGTGAGCTATGATCGTGCCACTGCACTCCAGCCTGGGAAAACATAGTAAGAACCTGTCTCTAAAAGAATTTAAAATTAAAAAAGTAAAAAAAAAAAAAAAAAAAAAAAAAAAATTTCTGACTGTGATTGCAGAATCCAGGGATGCAGGACCCATGAATATGGAGGCTGTATGTATTTCTTTTTCCCATGGGAGTGAGGGAAGTGGTTTTATTTTTTTATTTTTTTATTTTTTATTTTATTTATTTATTTTTTTGAGACGGAGTTTCACTCTTGTTACCCAGGCTGGAGTGCAATGGCGCTATCTCGGCTCGCCGCAACCTCCGCCTCCTGGGTTCAGGCAATTCTCCTGCCTCAGCCTCCAGAGTAGCTGGGATTACAGGCACGTGCCACCATGCCCAGCTAAGTTTTTGCACCTTTAGCAGAGACGGGGTTTCACCATGTTGACCAGGATGGTCTCGATCTCTTGACCTTGTGATCCACCTGCCTCGGCCTCCCAAAGTGCTGGGATTACAGGCTTGAGCCACCATGCCCGGCCGGAAGTGGTTTTATTTTGGTCAGTTTTCTCAACAGGCCCTGCTGAGAAGAGGGATTGTGGAGCTTCTCTTGACCTCCGATGGTGAGAAAAATGTGCTGAGCGGCCACACCAAAGGGGGTACGCATTTAGAGTTAGTTCACAGGAGAACAAGGTTCTCAGCCAGCCCGTGTAAATCTCGAACGCACCCCAGAGGAAACCAAGTGCATCTGGCTGCCTCCCTTTCCCATGTCCGCTGGAGTAGATCCTGGGGTTCGATGTTACAATTAATGAGGACTCAGGTCAAGGCTCAGGGCCAGCTCCCTCTCTTGGCCTTGCCCCTGCCGTCTTTAAACACAGCCACACTGGAGCTCCTCTGTCCTCAGGACAGCTTTCGACCTCCCATAGTTCTTCTGTGGCAAGGCACCTGCGTGGGTGCTGGGCCTGGCTTGGGGGTCAGGACCGTCTCTACTAACGTGGGAAACCACACAGGGAACCAGAAGATGGGTGTTGTGTCGGGAACCCCGCCTAGGCCCAGTTCCATTCCTGGGATCCTACCGCCCAAGGCTCTGTGTGGACACTTAGGAGATCTAGAGAATTAAGTGGCAGGATGATTCGGGACGGACTCATCGGATGGCAATAGTGAGGGACACGCCCGGGTGTGACAGGCCGGTGGGGCAAGCTGCTGCTGGCAGTCACTGTTCTGCCTCCTCAGCAGCGGCTCTTCCTCAGAAGCATGGCGCACTGGAGCACATGCTGAGCTTGGGGCTGGGAAGCCTGCGTTCCGTTTCCAGGCCTAATCATGTCAGGGAGCCTTAGCCTGGCTCACTTCTCTGCACAGGGTGTGGTTAATTTTAACTGCCCCCTCTGTACAAATGAGTGCCCTCGAAAGTGTCAGGGATGTGGCGATGGCCCTGGCAGCCCTCTGGACGTTGCAGGGTGGGACCCAGGCAGTATCTCTCTCCATCCTTACGGCCGAGCCTTCATTCCTGCTACGTGTGGGGTGGCGGGGTTGGAGGGTTGCCTTCCCTTCCCCAACAGCACTTGACTCACGGCTCAGCCGGGCCTCTCTCTCCTTTATGCAGCGCTGGCCACCATCAATTTGCAGAAACTTCACCGGAATATTTTCAATCAGCTTCATAAAGTCCAGGTAAGACATCTCAGACAGGCGGGGTTCTGCAGCTCCTCCTGTCTCCTATGTAACTGGTGTTCTGTGAAAACAGGTTTGACGAGAAGACCACAGGTTTTTACCCTGGGGCCTTGGCAGGCTACAAGCCATTTCGGGAGCCTTTTGGGGTGGAGAGGGAGGAGGGAACCCTGCTTGTGTCACCTCCGCTTGTGGATCACTTCATGGAGATGAGTGGGAAGGGTGGGTGTGACGGGAATCAGAGGGAGATGATGTCCCCTCTGAAGACAGAGCTCAGAGATGGGCTATGAGCGTTTGACAGAGGCCTCCCAGGGAGTTCTGGTGCACCAGGCTCTCCCACCTCAGCTATATGCATTATGGGAAGGGATGGCAGCTGTGTGTGCACTGATTTAACAGACGTGGATTGAGAGGCTCCCACCTTCTTCTCAGTGGGTGACCTCCTGTGACAGTTACAGTGAAGGACAAGCCACAGCCCAGCCTCCAGGGAGTACATCTGTCCTTTCTCTACAGACTAGCTAGAGTGTGAGCTTCAAAACCAGGCCTGGTCATGGTCTCCTCTGCTTATCATGCTTTCCAGATTGTTCTTTGTGCCCAGGATGACATCCAGCCCCTACGCCTTGGCCTGCTGGGGCACTGTGAGCCTTTGCCTCCACTGCTAGCCCTGCCACCCCGCCCCTGAGGGCCTTCCTTCCATTCCCGCACTGTGGTGCCCTGACCTAGCCAAAGACTCCACAGCTTGACGGCTCTGTCCCCACCCTCCAGCTACATTATGAATAAGACTCATGAACCTTGCTTCCTTTTCTCATCAATTTCTTTTCTTTTCTTTTTTTTTTTGAGACAGAGTCTTGCTCTTGTCGCCCCGGCTGGAGTGCAATGGTGCAATCTTGATTCACTGCAACCTCCACCTCCCAGGTTCTAGTGATTCTCCTGTCTTAGCCTCCCGAGTAGCTGGGATTACAGGTACCCACCACCACACCCGGCTAATTTTTGTACTTTTTAGTAGAGATGGGGTTTCACCATTTTGGTCAGGTTGGTCTCAGACTCCTGACCTCAGGGGATCCACCTGCCTAAGCTTCCCAAAGTGCTGAGATTACAAGTGTGAGCCACTGCGCCTGGCTTTTCATTAATATCTATAGTTTCCAACTTAGTGAAAGGAAGGGGCCCTGCCAGGGCTCTGTGGATCTGTGACTATCTCAGGTTTTTCAATACCTTCGCTAAGTCTTCTTCCTTTTTGTTCTTTCTTGTCACTTTAAGAACTTAATTGAAATCTCATTTTTACACCATTACATTCTCCCGTTGCAAGCATACAATTCAACCTTTAGAGTTTCACAATCATCACCACGATCCAAAGTGTTCATTGCATTTAATGCTCATTGGAGTTAATCCCTTCTGCAGCCCTAGACAGACACCAATCTGCTTTCTAGTTCTGTAAATTTACCTTTTCTAGACATTTCAGGTAAGTGGACTCATGCAGTATTTAGTCTTTTTCATCTGGTTTCTTTCACACAGTGTGGTGTTTTTTTGAGGTTCACTGATGCATGTTGTAGCATGCCTCACTGCTTCATCTTGTTTGATAGCTGGTTGGACTGTGCTTGGCTGTCATGTATGTAAAGTCACAGTCAAACCCAAAGGTGGTCCTGCGTTAGTATGTTAATCTCGTGACTGTGGTTTTTGCATGTTGAACCAGTCCTGTGTTCCTGAAATGAATCTCATCTGATTGTGAAATATTACCATTTTCGATTTTGCCAAATTTGGTTTATTCATATTTTTCTTGAGAATTTTCACTTCCGTGTTCATGAGAGACATCGGTCTTTGGTTTTGTTCTCTTAAAAGATATTTGTTTGGGTTTAGAATTAGGATAACGCTGGCCTTATAAAAGGAGTTTGGAAGTATGCTCTCTCTTCCTATTTTCTGGAACAGCTTCTGTAGAATTGTTACTTAATGCTTGGGAATTCACCACCGAAACTATCTGGACCTTTTTCCTTTAAAGTTTTCCTTTTTAGAAGAATTGTAACTTGCAGTTCTGTTTCTCTAATTAATACAGAAAAATTTAAGTTATTTCTTTTTGAGTGAGTTTTAACAGTTTATGTCTTTCAAGAATCTAGTTTACCCATTCTCTTCTATTCTATCTACATTTTTGAGTTCATGGGCATAGAGTTGTTTGTGATAATAATCCCTTGTTAAACCCCTACTGTGTTTGTTGTCATTAGTGATGGCTGTTTTTTCAGTCCTAATATTGCTAATTTTGTGTACTTATTTTGGTTCATGTGGTTAGACGTTTATCATTTTTATTGATCTTTGCAGAGAATTAGTCTTCAGCTTAATTTTGTTTCTCTGTTACTTTTGTGTCTTCAGCTCCCTCCGTTTCTGCTCTGATCTTTAGCATTTTCTCCCTTCTGCTGCCTTCGGATTGCATTTGTTCTTTCTCTTGCTTCTTTCTGTTGGAAATTAAGCTTACGGAGTTGGGAGTTCTCTTCTAATGTAAGCATTTATGCTATACATTTCTCTGTACGCAGTAGTTTTGCTGCATCCCACCAATTTTGATGGACTGTGTTTTCATCGAGTTCAAAATGTCAAAACATTTCAAAAAATTTCCCCTGAGACTTTATTCTATGCATCCGTTGGGAGTGTGCTGTTTCATTTTTGAACGTTGGAGGATTTTCCAGGTATCGTTCTATAATTGATTTCTAGTTTAATACTGTTAAGGACCTAGAACATACTTGTATAATTTCTGTTCTTTTACATTTGTTAAGGTTTGTTTCATGGATCATAATATGGTTATTCTTCGTGAATGTTCCATGTACATTTGAGAATAATGTGTAGTTTACATTTGTTTATAAATTCCCATCAGGTCAAGCTAATGGATGATACTGGCTCTTTACTGATTTTCTGCCCACTCATTCCACTAATTATTATGAGCAGGATGTTGACATCTCTAAACGTAATCACAGATTGTTTATTTTTCCTTTAGGCCTACTGATTTTTGTCTCTGTTTTGAGATGCATTCACATTTAGGATTATGATATTTTGTTGGAAGATTGGCCACTGTATCATTACATAATGTCCCTCTTCCTTGTTCTGAATTCTATTTTCATGTAAATATAGCAACTCTAGCTTTCTTTTAATTAGTATTTGCATGGCATATCTTTATATATCCTTTTTCTTTTTATATACCTTAAAGTCTGTATTTAAAATGGATTTCTTGTAGACATCGTATATTTACATATTGTTTTAAAAAATTAAGTTTGCCAGTTTTTGTATTTTAAGATAATGTGGATAGATTATCACATTTAAAGTAGTTACTGATGTGGTTTGAGTAAAATTTACCTTTTGGCAAATTCTTTTCTTTTTTGTACTTTATCTCTTTCTTGTTCTTTTTTACTCCTTTTTCTGAGTGAATGGATAATTTTTTGATTCCATTTTATCTGTGCTGTAGACTTACTACTTATGTCAGTTTAAAAAATTGTAGCTGTTGACCTAGAATTTAAAATACACATTTAAAAATTAACCTAAAACATACTAAAGTGTATCTAATATTAGCATTGTACAATAGCATCTTCCTAATTACCCACTTTACAGATGTCACTTCGTTATCATTTTTACTTCCCTGGTTTCTGATGAGAAGCCTGTTCTAATCTTTATCTTTTTTCCTCTGGCTACCTTTAGAATTTTGTTTGTCTTTAATTTTCAGAAATTTGAGTGTGATATGCCGAGATGTGGTTTGTTTCTTAAAATTTGTCCTGCTTGTATCTGTGGTTTGGTGAAGTTTACCAAACATTAAGTAAGGGATAATAATAATTCTACATAATATGTTCCAGAGAACAGAAAAGGAGAGAACACTTCTAAACTCATTTTATGAGGATTAGCATTGTCCTAATTCCAAAATCAAATAAAAACAACGAAAGTCAAGAAAACCAAAGACCAATTTTCCTTATGAACATGGAAACAAAAATTCTCAGCCAAAGGTGAACAAATTGAATCCAGCAATATGTAAAATGATAATACATTACTGATACGGTTTGGCTGTGTCCCCGCCCAAATCTCTGCTTGAATTGTGTCTCCAAGAATTCCCATGTGTTGTGGGAGAGACCCACGGGAGGTGATTGAATCATGAGGGCCGGTCTTTCCCCTGCTATTCTCGTGATAGTGAATAAGTCTCATGAGATCTTATTTTCCCTTCCTACTGCCATGTAATCAGTGCCTTTCACCTCCTGCCATGATTCTGAGGCCTCCCAGCCATGTGGAACTGTAAGTCCAATTAAACTTCTTTTTCTTCTCAGTCTCGGGTATGTCTTTATCAACAGCATGAAAACGGACTAATATAATTACATTCAAGTGAGATTCATCCTAGGAATGCAAGACTCGGCCATTAATTTTGTAGAATTCTGAGTCGTCACTTATTTAGATACTTTCTCTGTCTGCTCTCTCACCTTCTGCAATTCAAATTGCCTGTACGTGAGACCATTTTGTATGGTCTTACAACTCTTGGATGCTGTTTTCTTCCCCACTGTTGTTTTTTCTCTTTATTTTTCAGTTTAGTTAATTTCTATTGACCTATCTCTAAGTTCCGTGATTCGTTCTGCATACCTGTTGAGTTTAATGATGAATCTATTGAAGAAATTCTTCATTTCTTTTGCTATGTTTTTGATTTCTAGTGTTTCCATTTGCTTCTTTTTTATAGTTTTCATCTTTCAGCCAAAATTACCTATCTGATCTTGCATGCTATCTACCTTATCCATGATAGCCTTAAACATATTAATCATAGTTATTTTGAATTTCTTGTGTGATTGCTGTGATACCCGTGTCTTATCTGAGTCTGTTTCTGATGATTGCTTTATCTCTTCCAAGTGTGTTCTTTTTTTGCCTTTTTGTATGTTTCGTAATTTTTTATTTTTTTTAATTGAAAACGGCACATCATGTATAGGACATAGATATTGTCTGAGAGATCAGCATGCCTTTCCTTCTTCTAGACCATATGGAATTTTGTATTCATCGCATATGGC